TCATTATTGGCCGTGAGTCACAAACTGTTGTGCGTCAATAGACACAATCACACATAGATTGTTTGTCGTTTGTTTTGTTTTTTTTCATGCACCGCCGAGGATGGTGATGATTATGCAACGTGCATGATTAATCTGTGGCAACAAAACAATGTTTTCCACGGAAGGATAATGAAAAAATGATTTGATGAAATGAAAATATAACGAAGCCACAGTCTCACTAATTCAAAATCTGGTCTTTTTTTACTGAAGTGTCTTATTTTGCTAAAAATATATTTTTGCACAAGTCTTTATTCCAATTTGAAACACAATAACAGTAACCTGTTCTGGATTCCAATTTGAAACACAATAACAGTAATCTGGTCTGGGTAAAGTAAAGTTACTCATTAAATTAATCTGTATATTGAAAGTCTTTTAGAGATGTTTAAAATTTCACTTTGTATTTTCTCATTTTCAACTGTTTAGAAAAGATCCAGTAGGTGGCAGTAATGTAACAGCCAATCAGCAACTTGTTGTCATGGAGACGACAGCCCATTTACAGGTGCTGACCAAACCAAAACACACTCAGCTCATGATAAACAAATAGGTGGCTTGTGGACAGGAAGTGGGCCACAAGCTGCCAAATGAAGGACACTGCACTACTATAGTACTATAGTATTTGAATGAAGTATCAGACCAGATATACAGTAGATACTGGTACTGCGTGGATGTATCCTCGTAGGAAACCATCACTGACCTCATTAAACAAAGGTCAGTTTTCATAGACATAGCTTTGCTGACTGTGCTGAACGTTTTTTTAACATGTTCAACACTTTGTTTCCTAAATCCAGACAGTTTCTGTCCAGGTTGAACTGGAGTTTACACTGAGGGGATTAGTCTGGATTAGAACAGGGAGGAAACAGGAAGTCAGTGGGGAATCAGGATGTCATTATTTCTGCAGACCCCGGGGATTTTCTGCCTCCCACAGAGAACAACTGCTGCCACCTCTCACTGCCAGCGCCACATAGTGTCCAGCCGCTGGAGCAGCATCTCTGTGACGAGTGCTGGCATTATTTTCTACCCTCACCTTGATTTGATTAACCCGCTGATTCAATCTGTTCGCTTGTCATGAGCAGCAGGAGGCGGCGCACCAATAACACACACACACACACACACACACTTAATTAGGCTGTATAGTATAAATCATTTCAAGTATCGCAACGTGGCTAATGAGCTTTAGCTTCGTCACTAGCTTTTTTCTGACCTTTAATGCTAACAGGTAGTTTTTCATACATCTTGCGTTAGTGTTGAGGACTTTTTGACCACATCGCTAACATTTAGCTACAGCTATCTGTTATTTTGTTACAGTCTATGTTTTTCAACGTTCTAAAATTATTTTCATGTCTTTTGGCTAATTTGCAGCGTTAATGTTTGGATGTATTGCTTATTTTGCTAACCATTAACGGTCTGATGCTGTTCTTATGTTGAGTTTACTTTTTTTTGCCTAAACTGAGCATGTTGAGCTCAGCTTTGGTTATTGTTTGTTATTATATACCCAAACACCCTTAGCAGGCTGTATCTTTTTCTTCCTTCTTGGCCACATTTATTGATTTATCTTTGTCTACGCTACAACACTTCATTGCCATGAAACATCACAACACTGACAGATTCCTACTCCAAGGTTGAAAATGTTTTTTTTGCTGCTTCTCGATTAAATGAAAAATAAAATTCTAGTACGTGATCAGAGTCAAAACCTTGAGCTGCAGAATCTGCTCTTATTCAGGATTTAGAATCATATGTGTGTGTGTGTGTGTGTGTGTGTGATTAATGTCATTACGGGGTCAGCGGCCAACTCCGCTGAGTGAAATTAGGTAATAAATATGCACTGGGTGGCAGTGACGAGGCATGACTGGAATTTTACAGCCTGTGAAGGACCTCGGCGGAAGAAAAGGTGCGAAAAAATAAACAACGACCCTGTGAGCAGCCGGAACATCCAGGTAATGAAAAACAACACAGATGAGAATTCAATACAATTTCACAGTAATACCGTCCTGTTGTCAGGCAGCAGCAGGAACCTGGTTCATCTGCACGAGACAACTGCTGGCACCTGGCTCGATGTCCTTTATTATTATTATTATTATTATTATTATTGTTGATTACATATTAGGATTTGCATTATAGTCCAAACATCATCGTTTTATTCGTTAAATATTCAAATTTGTCCGTAGGTCATTTGGTACCGGGCTGTCCTTCAATTTTATTAATTTACTTCATTCAAAAATCCAGTCATATCCCTTTACTTTGTCTCTGATGTTAACAGAATAAAGTCTGTAAGATGTGTTATTTAGAAAAGATAATGATCCTTCAATAATGGTGCGGTACGACCAGTCTGTAGTAACGACTGAGACCGACCGACCGGTCCTTGGATCTCCAACATTGTAAAGTTGAGATCCTCTGGTTCTGAACTGCAGTGTTTCTTCAGATAAAGCACTGTTTCTGTGACTGCAGCACTTTCCAGTGCCTTTGTTCCATAATTTCTGTCTCTTTTGACTGTGAACCAAATGTCTTTGTCACTCTGGACCAGTCAGGCTTCACAGGTCTCTGCTGTGAAATCTCTCTGCTGCTAAAAATGCAGAATCCAACACTGTCTTTTCAACCTCCCAGCTATTTTATTTTTTCAGAGTAGAGTCCAGCGGCTCACACAAACATGAGGGGCGAGGATCTGTATAAACAGGCTGTTCAGTAAACAGGTCTGGAGTTCACCACCTGCTATTGTCACAGAAGGACAAAAAAAAAAAAAGAGTCCAATTCACACAGCGGCAGTGGTAAACACCACACTCTCTGCACCAACTGAGTTTATTTGCATTCACATCCCTGTCCCAGTTTTTTCTCCTTTTTCTCCTGTTTTTTTTTCTTTCATTTGTTCTCTACGTTCCATCCTCTGAGGACAAGGAACTGTATGACTGTGAACTGGAGCAGTGACAGTTACAGTTCCTTTAATCCTACACTGACTCTACGCAGCTGAAAGAAAGAGCTGAAAACACTGGCATCAACACAACAAAAGAAAGAAGAAATACAGAAGAAGAAGAAGAAGAAGAACAACAACAACAAGAAGAAGAAGACGACGACGAAGAAGAAGAAGAAGAAAAAGAAAAAGAAAAAGAAAAAGAAAAAGAAGAAGAAGAAAAAAAAGAAAAAGAAGAAGAACAACAACAACAAGAAGAAGAAGACGACGACGAAGAAGAAGAAGAAAAGATCCCTAATAATCTTAATAAGTCATTGTCAGCCCAGGTTGACAACCCTGTATAACAGTCAGTAGATTGTCCTGAATAATTGACTAGTTAAATGTGTGAAACAGGAGAATGGGAATAAAACCCAGACACCACCAGGTCGTCCATCATCTCCGTAGCAGATGAGTGGATCCCTGTAGGCCACAGTCATCCACATGATGACTGTTTAAACACAGATTCAGTTCCACTGGTCTACATTCAGTGAATCAACTCTGTGAGAGTCGAATTTATCTCCACTCAGAAACAAACAAACAAAAAAAGTATTTTCTCAGTTTGAGTCCCAGAGGCGTCTCCACGCAGCACCACGACCAGGAATTTGCATCTCCATCCTCCCTCACACTCACAGATGATTGATGACTCACCCACAGAGACCACAGGACCAGGATCCAGGGCATGTGTTTGTCATAACAGAGAACGCTCTTGTGCGATCGTGTGCTCAGAACAGTACCAAGAACCAACTGGATGAATGTGTCCTCACGGCAGAACCAACCAAGTAACTATTACAGCAGAAAATGTAGTACTGTAGTAAGTGTAAAAAACTCTTTAGATTCTCCAGAGACATGCAGTAGGGATGGACCAGTACCGATGCTGGTACTGTTATGGTGCCTCCTTCTTATTCAAATACTCAAATATAATTATTTAACTTAATTTGTTTGTTGCAGGTCCTTTTTTCCACAGAGCTTTGCCACCCACTGAGCCCCGACCCTCGAGTTTATTGCATCCCAAGATATAGTCCAGCCAACAGATGAGAATACTCGTACTGGTACTGCTTTTGCCAGTATTGGGTCAAATCCATTTATTTTCATTGTAGCAGTGTCTTTTGCGGAGGAGCAACATGAATGCCAGACAATACGTCAGCAGTGTGAATTAGCCTTTTGTGCTGGTGGAGGAGAGAAACGTGTGCACAAGTGGGGCTGTAGTCCGCACGTGGTTGCACCTCCTGCTGCACCTCCTGCTGCACCTCCTGCTGCACCTCCTGCTGCACCTCCTGCCTCCTCTCAACAGATACTGATTTTCACCGAACCCTGATGTGATACAAATTCAGACCCAGTCTCTGCTGCGTCTGACAGTAACATATAAAAGGTGTTTACGCTTCATAAATCGATTCAAATTGTAAGACTTCAGACACACGACGACGGACTCTGTGGAGGAGAACTTCACCACACACTGAGCCACAGCCACAGCCTACAGACGAACTGCTCCACTTCACTGCATCACATTTGGTTGTCAACGGGGGCGAGAGCAATAAAACTATTTTAATATGGGTTCATAATGAATGAGACCTTCACCTCCACGTTAAGTCATTCAATTTTTACAGTTTCCAGGACAGCGTATGATTGGTCGTCATGGCAGACAGCTATGTTTGGTTGTATACTTTAGCACTCCTTTGCTATTGAAGCGTTTTTCTCACTGACAACTTGATGATTTTGTTCACATCAGTACAAAGTACAGAACAAGTCCCAGCAGAACCGGGGCCTCATTGTGCTGCCTACCTCTGCTGTCAGTTCGTCGCCTTCCTCGCCTCTGGCCTCGAACAAATTCACACAGTTATGAAATGCACATTAATCGGTGTACTCTGATCGCAGCCTGTCCTGAGACTAAAGTCCAAACCTCTGTCTTCTCTTCACCAAAGTAAACTACAAGTATTTACTCCAAAAAGTACTTCAAAGTCACTTCTTGCCATATCTCCCCCCCCAGACCCTCGAACAACCTGGAGAGCATGTTTGTTCTTACCTTTTTGTAGACAATCATGTTGGGGGAGTCGTCAGCCGGGTCTCCACCACCGCCACCGCCGCCGCTGCTCATGGACCTGGTGGACAGCAGAGGGCGACTTCTGGGCATCTGGGCGCTCTCCTTGGGTTCTTCAGGCTCCTCGTCAGGCTCAGATGCCTCTGAGGAGCTCGGCTGCTCCTCCTCCTCCTCCTGCTCCACCTGCTCTTCCTCCTCCTTGTTCTGCTGATCCAACTGATGCTCCTCCTGCTCCTCCTGCCTCTGCTCCTGCTGTTCCTCCTGCTGTTCCTCCTGTTGTTGCTCCTGCACCAGCTCCGGCTGATGCTCCTGCTGCTGTTCTTGCTCTATTTGCACCAGCAGCTGCTCCTGCTGCTCCTGCTGCTCCTGCTGAGGTGCCTCAGCCATCGTGACAGTCTCTCCTTCTGTCTTCACCTCCCACCTTGTGTTGTGTTTTTGTGTCCTCCTTATCTCTGCAGAGTTCTCCTTCCCTTCCTCTGTATCCACCTGTCTTGTCTCTCAGTCGTCGATCTGTGAGGAGAAAAATAAAAAGAGAAAAAAAAGAGGGAGAGAGAGAGAGGGAGAGAGAGAGAGAGTGGATTAATTAAATTCTAACCCCTGGGATTCGGCCTCTCTGCTCCTTTTCACACCGTTTTCTCTGAGCATGATGGATGGAATCAAGGCATCACCACAAATTCTTCTGCATTTTCTCCTCAGTCAAACCTCAACCTTTGTTTGGAGGGTTTCTTTGTTCTGCTTTTACTTGGCTTTTGTTTTGAGGTTTTGTTTTTTTTTCACTGAAATGTTCCTGTCAAACAGAGCACAGCAGGATCTCTGCTCAGTTTTAAAAGTTCAAGATGTCAATCTTCAGAAAATCTTCCTACAGGGCATTTCTTTTATCACTTCTAAAATACTTGAACTCCATTTATTAGCGGTTTGTTTCATCTTATTCTGATGGAGGTGTGGCTGACACTGACGCTGACCACTGCACCACTGACCATTGGTAAAGAAGTGGGCGGAGCTATTCAGCTGCAAACACGAAGCCAACAGTTTATATTCAGAATGAATCGGTGATGACCTTGTGGATGTTTTTCTCTCCTCCAGACGGAGTTCTGTTGCTGGTCGGCCGTGGATCAAAGCGGTGCCTGGTTCGATTCCCAGCGTTTGCAGTTTGAGGTTGAGTGTGTGTGTGTGCGTGTGTGTGTATTTGCTGGCAGGTAAGAGCGTTTAGCTTCATGTCAAACGGCTCTTCAGATCAATACTCCCATCAAGCAGCTGCTGCCCCCGTGTGTGTGTGTGTGTGAGTAAACAAACATTCAAACACAGCTAAAGGCAAAAGAACACGCAGCACGTGTGTTGACAATGAAGGCAGATCTTGGATGAATGTCTGACTTCATGACGTCCACAGTAAAACAGACACCTGAATAGAAGACGCCTGATTTGTTGCCCAGTGATGATGACATCACACGTTCCTATCACTCGACGGCCTGACCTCCGGCACCAGCTCTGTGTTTTTTAGCATATAAATGGAAAGTTCTGGATGAATACGTTGCTCTGATCAGCGTGGGTTACGCGTTCATTTAGTGATTTCCTATTGAGTGATTCAGCGCCGCCTCGACCTGGCTGCATCTCATCCTGCAGTCGTGACGATTCGGAGGAGGGAAAAAAATCCAGCACATGTATGATGTAATAACTTTAACATATCTGCCCTAAAAATAGACGTGAGCACGTGAGCGTGGAGAAGAGATAACGCTTCCACGCTCTTCTCGAGATGTTAGGGCACGATAAACAGGAGCCAGTGTGAAGGGACTGAGACAAAAAACAACAACAACAAAAGAGAGATTTGTAGGTTTTTCTTCTTTTTTTTTTTTTTTTGGATGATTGAGTCATTATAAAATCGTTCTGAATTAGCCTGAGTATATTAGGAGAGAAACATCTTTCTTATTTTTTAATCTTCCTCACATGCTGTGATGACAGGAGGAAGAGGCAGAGCACCACGTCTCACTGCTTCTCAAGTCTCCTCTCTCCCCACGGACACACACACACACACACACACACACACACCCNNCAGGGTGTTTTACAGTGCAGGGCAGCAGTAATATAAAGGACACCATGAATTCAGCAGACGGTCATTTCAAAGCACAGGGGGAGTCCAAAAGAAAAGAAAAAAGCAAAGCACAGGGGGAGTCCAAAAGAAAAACTCCCCCCTAAACTCCCCCCCAGCCCCCGACACACACACACAAAAAAGTGTTTGTGTGAGAACAAATTCACTAGGCTGTGATACTGAGTCACTCTTCAACTTTTAATGATTGGAAATAATGCTGACTAAGCCAAACTTGCTGGTGAAGGTCATGCATATTCAGCAGCAGTTTCCAGTAGTGTCGACTGCCTTTTAGTTCAAATGTAGAAACAAAAACTTCAAAAAGGCACTTTTGCCTTTTGGTCTAACCGTCAGAACTAAGTTTAACTGCAGCAAAGTCACTGAATCAAAGCTTCGATTCAAGTAAATCTCACGTCAATTTATCCACTGATCGTTTCAGCTCAACTCCAAAGGAGGAATCTGTGACGACTCTGACGCTAGTGCATCACTACGACAAGATGTGGAGAATTATGGTCTTCAAATAATTATGGCTGCACCATCTGAAGGACTGCCCTCTGGTGGACAGAGAGAGAACGCAGCCATGAGCTCGGTCCTGGTCCTACTGCGAGGCTCTGGTGTTAACCGTGACACTGTAGTGAGGCTCTAACAATCAAAAGCCACAACACAACCACAGCCAATCAGAGAACACTCGGACGTGATGGAGCCGACAGCGGAGCGGAGCTGGAATATGGTTTTAATGGATGTGGTTATTAGTCATGCAACATAAAGCCATCAGCACTGACAACAATGTCTCTCTCTCTCTCTCTCTCTCTCTATCTTCCACTCCATCCTTAGAGGACTACCCCTCCCCCCCATCCCCCAAATATACGCTGCCAGAAGCAGTGCTTTCTAATATGGTCTCATACTCAAACCACCAAAACCTTCATTCTAACTCTGAGTATGTGCAGCAACAACAACCGCACATTTACACCAAAATATTTTAAATCCAACACTAGGAGTGTACAGTGGTATATATTTGTCTACCTGCAGTAATGAACCACGGCCTGGGGGGAGGGCGGGGGAGGAGGTGCAGATCAGCTCTGGTGACTTACCTATGTTGGTGGTTAAAGGACTAATCTCTTCATTCCTAACTAGTAACCAATCAGGTGCAATTTCTATACTAGTGCAAAATAGATCCAGTAGATGGCAGTAATACAGTTGAAGGGATGCAAGTATGTTGGTAAAATAACAGATAATTAGCATTGACTAAAAAAAACACTACGTTTTTATAAGGTGGTACAAATGTAATGATGGAAGACAAACATTCAGTGATATCGTCGGGGGGTGTACGGCAACAACAACATCTTCAGCTCTGTGCTACGTTTAGCTTGTTGCCAAATCGCAATCTACCAAGTCAAGTCAACAGTGACTCCGTGTTATTTACACTGCAGCGCCATCTTCCATGTTTACCAACACTGACCGTGAACTCCTGCACACTTTACCCTGAGGTCTGCCTCCACACAGACCTGATCCTGACCCTGGACTACAGCTGAAGACACCTGGCTCCCTCTCATTAGGACCAGTGATCCTGCAGCAGGAGAGGTTCTAATGAGAAAACACACACACACACACTCACACACACACACATACACTTTTAATCGGTTCTGCTGCAGGCACTGAAGCACACTTCTCATGCATACGTTGCTGGATAGTAAAGACTCTGCATTATTGAAACACCACACCTTGTATATGTGTATATAGGGAAAAACACGCACACACTCACAGACACACACAGTTCAAGTGCAGCACTGACTGTGTTCCATAGAACAGTTTTAATCTGAACAGAACCAAATGAAATCCTTTCAATCTTCTAACTCTCTCTAATTTCATTTCTCCATTTATTCATTAGCTCGCTCTTTCATCCACACCCCACCATCCGTGCCTCCATCCGTCCTCCTCCTCCTCCTCCTCTTTCTCTTACCTCTGAGCTCCTGTGCTGTGCAGCAGCCTCCTCTGCTTCACTCACGAAGCCAAAAAGAGGCTTCACTGACACAGCAGTGGGAGAGAGAGGGGGAGAGAGAGAGAGGCAGGGAGAGAGAGAGGGGAGGGAGAGAGAGAGACAGAGATGGAGAGGGGACGAGAGAGGTGATGAGAAGCACAGATAGTGAGAGAAAGGGAGAGAGGAGAGAAGAACAGAAGTGGTAGAAGGGAGAGTGGAGAGGGAGAGAGAGAAAGACAGAGAGGTGAGAAAAAAGAGGGGACCTAAAGGGGAGGAGAAAGAAGGGAGAGGACGATCGAGGGGGAGGAAGTTGGGGGTGAGAGAGATAGAAAGAGAGGAGGCAAATCAGATGGAGAAAGAGAGTTGGAGAGATAAAGGGAGGAGGATGTTGAATAAGAATCGCTCCCCCTTCCTTCTCCGCCTCCCTCCCCCCTCCTCCCTCCTCCTCACCAACTCACGCTGTAGTTTGTCAGACACTCCAGTTATTTCTGGAGTCAGTTTAGTTCAGAGTGGAGTTTGTGAGGATTGTAAAAAAGAAAAACAATCTTCTCGTTCACTTTTATCTCACTTTTTTATCTTACCTTTTTGCTGTAGTTTTTGAAGCTAATGTTTAGCCTGTACAAATTTCTTCTTTGGCTAAACTCTTTATACCTTTTGCTGTGATGGCTCACTGTCAGCTATTTCTATCCAAGCAGGTTTTGGGTTTTTTTGCAAGAAATTCCTAATTTTGTTACTTTACTCTATTCGCATTTCCACTCTAATTCCACTCCTATTAGCCTTTTAACACCTGGCATGAAACCATAAGACGTCTGTACGCTACTGGACATTTGATCTTCTACACTTTAAGGCAAATTCTTATATTTCTTAGAATATTTTTGCTCTAAACTCAGGCTCATTTCTGACGCTGAAAGTTTCAGTCAAAGTCAAAGTGAGATGACAGTTAATGTTAATGAAATTAAACTCATTATTTCTTACTTTGACAGCTATCGCTGGTGTTTTTTTCCCTTTAACTCTCACACACTTCACATATGCACAGCTCCAACCACAGCGCACACACATACACACACAGACAAACCCATACCTGACACATCAACTCTTCAGCACCAGTGATGCAAACATGGACCAACCGAGGAAACAGGCGTTTACAGACACACGTGTGTGTGTGTGTGTGTGTGTTTGTTGTAAGCAGTTCTCACATTACACTTATTCAGGCAGCTAAATTCTCAGTGGTGGCGTCTAATCCAATAGTAAATGAATGGAGTAGATAGAGATGGAGGGGGAGATGAGTTCTTTCTCTCCGTTTGCTTCCTCACTTTCATCTGCTGTTTAGTTTGCAAATGGAAAAAAAAGGGAGAGAACGGACGTCAATAATCTCCCAAATCAATACATGCACTTACCAGCTAACTGTCGTCAAAAACAACGTTAACACTAATGGACCCGTCTGGCCTGCAGTCCACACACACACACACACAGACAGACATATTCCATTGCCGGGCCATTTGACCCAAACCTTAACTATTCTAGTTTATAATCTAATCTAATCCTAATCTGTAACGCCACAGTTTCCAGTTCTTCCAGATCTATTGCCTGTTCTGATTGGCATCAGTGAAATCTCAGCTCCAAATGTATTTAACTGTAAATTAACACAATTACCCCAGTTGTTGTTGTTGTTGTTGTTGTTGTTGAAAAAAAACGATTTTCTCATCCTTTATCCAAACAGTTACAAAGTTGTGAGGACGGGATAAAAGGACATACATTTTCCACAACTCTCACACACACACCTGAATACATAAGTACACACACTACTCATGGATATAAAGCTGTGCTCTTCCTCTAGACCAACTAAATTATTTAGTTGCAAATACAATAGCAAATACAAAATGAAGGTCCCACTGAGGTTGATGTGTGGGGGAGCTTTTTTGCGAAACACCTTTTTTACCTTATGGGGATATTTTTCAGGTCCCCACCAGGAGGTTGTTATTAGCATATTAGCATTGTTCTATTTTATTGTTCTATTACGATGTAGTATCTTTAGATAATATATGTTATAAAATGTACTTCAACACAGTGCTTAAAGTATTTTGCGGTTAAACTACATACCTGGATACAGCTGAAGGAGCCAGAATGTGTCCATTTATATTCCTCCAAACTCTGATATGATGGACAGTTTATTCAGTTATTGTTAATGTCAGGGTAGTTCCGGTGTGACAAT